CTGCCGCCCCAAGATTCAGGGCTGCCTTGTTAAAGGAGTGCAGAGGCCAGACTCGCAAATGAGAAAAAGCAAGCTCAGGGTTCGTGGGTCGCATTTTGGGCTGTGGAAGAGGAACCGGCTCCATTCCTGGAGTTCTCTCGAGTTCCTGTGCTTTTGGTTTTGCTTTTTGCCAATCCGCCTCCCAAGACTGCTCCAGGTGCTCCGACCTGAGGGCTGCTGGGGGCGGGGCTCGATTGCTCATTACTTGTGGAGCTGAGGCTCAATGTCTCCAGCTGCTCCGCAACCTTCCCTTCCCTTCCCTTGGTTTGCTCGGGGATCCTGAGCAAGCTGGCTGCTGGAGGGAAGGAGAAGCGGTTTAAACCACCTTCACTTCCCTTGGCTTGCTCAGGAACCCCTTTTAGGCTGCTGCAGGCCCAATCAGATTCTCTGATCTGAATGGGCTTCCTGCAGTTCGACCCCATTATATCCTAAGGGCCATTTAAGTCAATGGCGAAAACATAGGGTATATTCATGGGGCTGGAGGGGAGGGGGCTTGAGGGAGAGGCTCCAAAATCACAGGGTAGGTGCTGTAGCCTCTCCCCAAGATACCCTCCATGTTTCAGGAACATTGAACCAGCGGGTCCAATTCTACGGGCCCCCAAACAGGTTGCCCCCATCCCCTGTTTGGGGGCCCGTAGAATTGGACTCCCTGGTCCAATGTTCTTCAAACTTGGTTGGTATCTTGGGGAGAGGCTCCAGCAGCTACCCTGCGATTTTCGTGTTGTGAGACTTGAACACCAGAACAATGTAAATTTCTCATTCCCAGTCTGCCTCTGCTCACAGGGTTTTTTTGCTGAGGATAAAAGTTAAGGAAAGCTGGGGGAGCTGTCCCCCTGTGCGGGCGTCCTCCCCTCGGCGTGGGCGTCGCAACTGCCGCCAAGAACATCAACGGCAGCCATAACTTTTTAAAGAGCCCCTCCCAGAGCTGGGGGGGCCAGAATGACCTATTGCGAGTGATTTGTGAGTGGCATCACAAACAAATTTCCCCTATGAGTCCAAGGCCACCACCCCGGGGCTCAGGGAGGCAAGGGAACGTTTTGCCCCCCCCTTGCGGGCATCGCAGCTGCCGCCAAGAACAGTGACGCCGGGCATAACTTTTTAAAGAGCCCCTCCCGAGAGCTGGGGGAGCCAGAATGACCTCTCGCGTGTGCTCTCGGCCATCACATGCAAGAGGACGAATTTGCCCCTACGAGTCCAAGGCTAACTCCCCTGGGCTCAGGGAGGCAAGGGAACGTTTCACCCCGCCCCTCCCCCCCACGTGGGCGTTGTAGCTGCCTCTGAGAACAGCAACTGCGGCCATAACTTTTTAAAGAGCCCCTCCCGAGAGCTGGGAGAGCCAGAATGACTTCTTGTGGGAGAGATGGAATTTGCCTCTAGGAGTCCAAGGCCACCACCTGTGGGCTCAGGGAGGTGGGGGAACTTTTTGGGGCTCCCCCCCCCACCATGTCCCAACTGATGGCTGGTGGGAGCAGGGGGCGGGGCTTATGTGCCCACCCCCTGGGCTCCTGACTGGCAGAGCGGGTCCAGTCACCACACTCCAGCAGGTACCAAGGCCAGGGTATATGTGTGTGCAGAACAACATTTAAATGAAAAATGTGCTTAAAAAGGCGACCATTCTCTCCACATCATGGATAACACAAATAAACATCACCAACATGGGGTTTTGCATATTTCCAAATCTATGTCCACAGTCTCCAACGTTTCTGGGAAATATGCAGAACATTCACGTATCAACAGGGTATTGCACCATACTGTGCGTACTGATACGGTACTCTCCATTTGGTGACTATGCACATTCACTGCTGGTCCCACAACACTTGGTAGTTGGTTATACGTATGAACAGTTCTTTGTGCCAGTTCTCGACAACGTTCAGCAAATGAACGTACAGCTCTCATGAAAGCCACTATACACCGCGTCAGAACTTCTGTCGCGGTAGCTGAAAGAATCCCAGAGTAGTAGCCAATGTTACTGTGTTACAGCAAAAATAAGCCGGAGTCTCGTGATCCCTTAAGGACCAGCAAGTTTATTTGGAATACATTCGAGAAGGGAGCGGAGGAGACCCTACAAGGTAGCGTTCTTCAGCCAGGTTTCTCGAAAGCCGAGCCGTCCACAGGCGCATCTGAATAAACACAGAAGGGCAAGTCTTTCCAGTTAACTCTTGCCTAGAAAAGACGGGAGACATAAACAACCAGAAGGGGCAACGCACTCCCCGGGGTTCGGCTCCCCCTCCTCCCCGCCCAGCCGTCCCCTCCGTCCCATTTCCTTTCAACGCTCCTTGTCAGCACTGGCGTCCCCTCCCCCGACCTCTCTGCTTGCACTTAGTTGGGGCGGGGAAGAGAGGGAGAAAGTGACGTCGACGATCACGCTGACTATGAGGCGTGCGCTTGCGCGGTCGCTCTTGCACACGTCTCCCTGCCTCGACCGAGTTCTCTTTCCCACCGAGCGGGGCGGGGGGAAAGGCGAGGGGAGGGGGGATCGAAACGATGACGTATGGGGCGGCCCTTCCTTCTTCCTGCCTCTCCCCCTTCCCGCCAGTAGTGAGTAACTCTTATCAGGGTTGAGCGGGTGAGTGTGCTCGTGGCCGCCCAGCCAAGCCGCCCAGCTGGGCCGCTCAGCCACCCTCGGTCGGTCCGTCAGAGCGCCTCGGCTGCTGACGCGCTCGCTCGCACTCTGCCCTGGCGGCGGTTTGCGTGCGTGAGGCCGTCTAATTCTACCAGGCCCCGAAGACTCGTGGCGGCAGCAGCAGCAGCAGCCGTGACGCCGCCATTATCACCCGCGCGCGGCAAGGAACCATCTTCCTCTTCGCTTCACCCCTTTCCTCCCCCCCTCCCGCGGCGTTGTCTGGCCCCGCGCAGTAGCAGCTCCTCCTCCTCCTCTTCTTGCTCCTGTTGGAACAAAGGAAGGAAGCGGCGGCGGCGGCGGCTGCAGCAGCAGCTCCGGGACTCCCTCCCCGCCAGAGCCGGGAGAGCGGCGCCTTCCTCTTCCCTTCTTCGTTATTCAGCTTCGCTCCCTCCCCCTTCCCCCGTGCAAGGAGAAGCCGAACGAGCAGGTGAGTTTTCGGCTCTCGGAGCGGGTGGCCACCCTTCGTCGTTTCCGAGGCGGCGGGGGCGGGTGGGGGTCGGGGGACTGGTGTCCTTTGTGGAGGCTTCCCCGCCTCGCGCACGAAATGGCGGGGAGCGGCGCGCGTAGGCGAGGCCGGGTCGGGGCGAGGGAGCTTCGGCGTCCCGGCTTTTGTGTGGGCCGGGAAAGCTCTCGGTGCGGGTGGGCGGCGGGAGAAGGCGCCCGTTTCCTCCGACCTTTCTTCTCTACGGAAAGGAGAAAGACAAAAGGGCCGCTGGGCCGACCTGGCTTTGTGTCTGACAAATTTATTTTGTGGGGGTGGGGGGAAGTTAATGACACCGTATTCCGCAGGGGTTGGATGATGTATGTTGGGGCGGGGGTGAGGATTAATG